ACAGGAACTGGAAAGAATTGTTTATCCTCTGTGAACTATTAGCTCCTCCCAGAGGATCAGTCCTCTATCATGTCCATGATGGTGTTGAGGTGTCTAAGTCTCAGGATGAACAGTTTTCAGGACGAGTCCAGAGTGACAAAGACGTCCTCAGAGAAGGACGAATCAGACTCCATGTGTCCAGACTGAGGACTGAAGACTCTGGTCTGTATCTCTGTGATGTAAAGACGGATTATGGCTTCAACTCTGGAAGATGTTACCTTAACGTCTCTGGTGAGTTTGAGCTTCAACATCTGAATCTTAAAAAAAAAAAAATTCAAATGAAACATAAAATATTTACATTTTTTATTTACATTTTATGTTTAGCTGGGGTTAGCCTCGTAGCTCCGCTGGTTGCCTCCTCTCAACATCTGAACTTTTTTTTTTTATTATGCACCAAATCAGTAAATGGGCCATGTGATAAAGCTTAAAAGTATAATTTTTCTCACCTTAAATTATCTTAAAATATACTTTTATTGAACAGCAGGAACAGAAAAGTGAACTATTATCTTAGTACTTTGAGCTCTGTGAGCGCTCCATTGGAAGCTGCTTCTGCCGCACTGCATGCTGGGACAGCTTTCAATCTCAAGAACAGACAAGTCTGCTCTGATGCATGCTGGGTAAAGAGGGAGGGGTGAAAGCAACATCCAGCGACTTTGTCCATTCTTGGTATTGTGTTCTTTTGAATGGAACAGCACTAGGGCTGATGCTGATGATGTTTCACCATCTCACAAGCACATGAGAACGCACAAGTTCACATATTGACAAATGTCAATTGACTACAGCAGTCCCTCACACCAAACATGCATACAGCAACAGTGGAGAGAAAACTCCCTTTTAACAGAAAGAAACTTCCAGAAGAACCAGGCTCAGTGTGAGCGGCCATCTGCTGAGGCCAACTGGGGTTCAAGCAGGCATACAACTAAAACATAGATGCATTAATCTATAATTACTTATTTTGTTAGAAAAGGTAATAGGTGGCTCTGTCTGGCAAAGAAACGATGAAGCAGATAAGCTCTGTGCCAGTTTTCACCTTAATGGGATGAAAGACAGCACATCCAGGTAGTCACAGTAAAGCTGAGCCTATAGCTATGTCATGGAGAGAAACAGGACTGCCCTTAAAAACAGGCCCAACTCCAACATCTATAAGCAAAGACGTTCATTGTAGCAGCCCAGCTGATATTTCTCTCCAGGATGATGCCAAAATCAAACAGGAACAGACTAGATGAAGCTTCTACAATGAGAAAAAACAGAGTGAGAAGAAAGTTTTGGGTTGTGTTACGCCCCAGCTTGTTGGGTGCAACATAGTGGAAGACAACAAAACATTAAGCATATCAAACATAGGATTTATTACAAAACTAGGGGTTAAAACATACAAAAAGGGGACAAGGAAGTGGTAGTGAGCAGCAGCTGCTGCTGCTCTGGCTGCCAGGCTGGAGAGAGAGAGAGGGTGGAGCCAAGGCAGACTGTAATTCCCTCTCAAGTCGAAAAATCAGGAAACCAAGTCGTCCTTTAGATACTGGCTTTAATCACACAAGAAATATGATAGTGTGCCGTGAGAACTGTTAAAACATACAGAAAGAAAAGCAAACAAACTAATTATTTCCCCGAAAGGACATCAAAGGAAAAAAGCGACCATACAATATATGACTCAACAGAAATTCTTCGTGTTACATCTTAACGGTCAAACAAAGTAAATAGTAAATTAAACTAAAATGTACCTCATTGGCCGCTTTCCCTTGAGAGAAAATTAGAATCTTCAGTCCTTTATCCAATGTCCTTATCACTGGTGACTTAGGCAGAGGAATCAGCGCAGTGTCTGCCTGATTGTTTGTTCCAGAACCACGTTACAGATCCACAGGTACCGACCCTTAAAGGTAACACTCCGTCGACCCACAGCTGCATCCCCTTAACCCCTTAATTAGGACTCGTTCCCCAACATCAAAACAAACAATATTCAAGAAACACATGAAATTATACCTTAATATTCAACCTTTATAACTAAAAATGTATGTATTTATGAGCTCTATATTTTTAACTTAAATATTTATTAATCTCTTATTTATTTATTTATTCTGACTTCGATGGCAGCTACACTCCCACTAAATCACTTGTGATTTTACACAACTGATGAACTAAGTTAACATGGGATAATAAAACACATTGCAAGAAAAATGTGGCGGCATCACTCGGCTTCAATCAGGGTCACCGTCTTATGGATGGGTCTCTCCAAGTATACAGGCTTCCCAGAACGTCTTCCTTTTTTATCCAAAGTTGGATTACTGATCAGGAGTTGCAGTTTCCTTACACAGCCATCTTCTGCAGGATAGACCCTTGTGACCTTTGCCAATTTCCATTCAGTTCTTGGGGCAGTGTCATCTTGCACGATCACTATATCATTGACTTTAGCGTGTCTGCACTTTCGTTGCTATTTCTGACATGGTTGTGAGTTCAGCAGATATTCTTTGC